TATGGGCCTCTGAGATGAATACACTCTTCAGATGAAGAAACACAAACAGCAAACAAATACATGAAGAAATGTTCAATATCCCAGGCCAGTTGACAAATGCAAATTAAAACAACACTGAGGTTTCACCTCACCCTAGAAAGATGGTCTATTAAAAAAGAAATCAACCAATAACAAATGCTGGAGGGGTTGTGGGAAAAAAGGAATCTTTCTTCACTGTTGGTAGAAGTATAGACTGGTACAACCATTGTGGAAATCAGTGTGGAGATTTCTCAGAAAACTAGGATTAGAGGTCCCATTTAACTCAGTTATTACTCTCTTGGGGATTTTTTTCCAGAAGAATAAAAAATTTCATACCACAGTGATATATGTGCACCCATGTTTATAGCAGCACAATTTGTAATAGCAGAATCTTGGAAACAACCCAAATGCCCATCAGCCAAGGAACAGATAACAAAGATGGGTTTTATTTAATACAATTATTACCCAGCCATAAAAAGGATGAACTGGAGACTTTTATAGGTAAATGCATGCAACTCAAGTCCATACTTATAAGTGAAATAAATCAGACCCCTATGTGCAAACATAGTATTATCTCCCTCATGTGAAAAGCTGAAAGAGTAAATAAGATATTATAAACGTATATTAACTTTAGGAATAACGTTATCTTAGCCTTCCAAAGTTTTTTCTTCCTTTTCAAAATGGTTTCAATAATTTCATGTCTTTTGGATTTTCATAGAAAATTGTTATTTTTAAGTGTTTCATATGAAAATGTTTCTTGACATTTTTAATTTCTCTGTAATGTTTTCTAGTTTTCTCTATATAGGTCTTTAAATTCTGTGGTAATATTTATGTCTATATTATAATTTAATACTCTTGTAACCCAATGTGTTTTATTTTCATTTGTTGCCATGAAGTAGAAGTATAGTTGTTTTTCAATAAACATTAAAAAACAACAACAACAAAAATAAATGACAGCATCTCAGCCCCGTGTGGTGGTATATGTCTATAATCCCAGCCTGGGGGAGGCTAAGACAGGAGGATGGTAAATTCCAGCCTGGGCTGTATAGCAATCTCAAGGCCAGTCTGTACCACCAAGCAAGACTCTATCTCAAAACAAACAGCCCAGGCATAGTGGAACACACCTGTCATCCCAGTATTCAGAAGGGTGAGGAAGGAGGATAACCATGAGTTTAAAGCCAATCTGAGGTACAGGATGAGTACAAGGCCAGCCTGTACTACACAGTGACCTGTCTCAAAAAACAAAACAAATCCTGGGTGGCACATGCTTGCAGTCCCAGAAATCAGGGGGCTAAGCAGGAGAATTGCCAACAGTTTGAGGTCAGCTGGGCTACACAGTAAGTTCAAGGATAGCTTAAACTAAACAGTGACATCTTGTCTTTATCTGTTGTCTAGATGGCCTCAAGCTCCTTGACTGCTTCAGCCTTCTGAGTAGCTGGGACTATTAGCATGTATCACTAAACTAAGCCACCAGCAACTCTTGTTTAGTTCTTTTCCAAACCAAGAGACTCATATAGCAGGTGTCTAATGATTCTGTTTTGTTTTCTTTGAAATGCTAGAGATTCACCTAGGTTGTGTGTATGCTAGGCAAATGTTTTGCCTTTGAGCTATGTCTCCAGCCCACTAGTGATGCTTCTGAACAAGAAATCAAAGTCACCCCTGTAGCCAGTTGTAGTGATGCACATCTGTATCCCAATACCTGAGAGACCAAGGCAGAAGGATTGCTGTGACTACTAGGCCAACCTGGGCTACATAGTGAGTTTTAGGCCTGAACTGCATAATGAGACCCTGTCTCACAAAAACAAAACAAAAAAAAATTTTTTTTGCAAGGTCTGGTAGCCAATATCACCAGGTGGCCTCGAGGGGAAGGAATCAAGTTAGAGTGTAAAATCCCATCTAAAAAGGGCCAGGCACAATGGCTCACACCTGTAATCCTAGCACTCAGGAGGCTGAGGCAGGAGGATCATTATGAGTTCGAGAATAGCCTGGGCTGCAAAGTAAATTCAAGGCCAGCCTGAACTGCATAGTGAGAACCTCTCTCAAAAAGACCCCCCCCCAAAAAAAAGGGACTGCTCTATCCTGGGTTTCTTTCTTTCTTTTTAAAATTTATTGATATAACTTAGATATACATACTGATCACACTTGTCATAGGGAATTTGTTCCTGTACACAGTACATCTTTTTTTTTTTTTTTTTTGAGTACTGGGAATTGAACTCAGGACCTTGTACTTGCTAGGCAGGGGCTGCACCACCGAGCTACATCCTTGACTACAAGATATATATTGATTCTTCTTTTTTTTCCCATTTTCTTCCCATCCCTTCAGCCTCTATTTCCCTCCTTATTTACAAAGCTTTATTTGCATTTTATCCTTCTGTCATTTTTTTTACCCTTTAAAAAAAATCCAGAAAACTTCAAAGAAAATCACAAGTGGAAAAAAAAATCCAGAAAACTTAGGTGTGAAGATAGTCTGTCCCTCCATAGCTGTCCGTCCTTTGGCAGTGAACACAGCCTTCCAGAAGGTCAGTTTTTGTGACAGTAAAAAGCACAGGGATGTTTCTCTGGCATTTTCTTTGGGTGGAGTACAGTCTTGTCTCCTGGTGAGTCCTTAAGAAACACCAGGACTTGCAGCATTACCTCCTTGCTCCAAATGGTCACACCTATTACAAGGTGTGATATTCATTGCCTGTTTCTTTTTTTGAGACAAGATTGTCTTCCTATGTAACTTAAGGAGGTCTCCAACTCACTATGTATGTATCACCAGCTGGCCTCAAACTCGCAGCGATCCTCTTGTCTCAGCCACCTGAGTGCTGGGATTATAGGCATGCACCACCACACTCAGCCTGTATTCATTATTTCATCCTAGCGGAAACTCTGATTTATTTATTGCTAGGGATGTAACCCAGGACCTCTCACATGATAGAGAAATGCTCTACTACTGAGCCACACCCCAGTCCTAATTTTCATTCATCATAGTTTACACTGCGTGGACGATAGTTTCCAAGTGTTCCGAAACAGCGCTCAATCAGGCGAGGGGCTTCCACAATGGATATTAGTCTGGAATCTTATTTTATGAGACTGAAAACAGCCAAAAGCAAGGGTAGCCTGAGTCTTCCTGTTTAGTCCAGGGCACCTAGGTGAGGCGCTGTGTCACTCAAGGACCGCTTGACAAGGGGGCTTCCAGATCTCTTCACGCTCGGGCGGCAGCAAAACTAGAAGTAAAAAGAGAGTTGGTGCCCCCTAGCGGACACAAGAGGGCATCTCAGAGGAGGACGAGGAAATTCTTAGACTACATCTAAATTTTTTTCCCCTTGGGGCATGGGAGATGGGCCAAAAATAATCTATACTATTTCTTCTTCTTTCTTTTTTTGGTACCGGGGATCAAAATCATGACTGCGCGCTCAGCGAGGCAGGCGCTTATGCCACTGGGCTAAATCCTCAGCCTGCTATACTGTTTCTTGAAACTACATTTTATAGAGATACTCATAGATCTATTTGCAGTTATAAGAAATAATACAAAGAGATCTTTGGACCTTTTGCCCAGTTTCCTCTGATGGTAACATCTTTCAAAACTAGAGTACATAGATCATGGGAATAGAATGAAAAGTTCAGAAATAACCCAGCAATTGCTGGACGATTGATTTCAGCAAAGATGACACACAATTCAGCGCAGAAAGGACTAATCTTTTCAACAAATGGTGCCAGTACAGCTGAAGTTGGAGCCTTACCTCACACCATGCAAAAATCTCAAAGCAAAATAAGAGGTAAAAACATAAAACTCTCAGAAGACAACATAAGGTAAAAATAACTTCGGCTAAAGCAGTGATTTGTTAGGTTTGACACCAAAAGCCCAAACAATGAAAGACAATATAGATAAATGGAATTTCATCAAAATTAAAAGCATTTATTGCTCTGAAGCCATTATCCAGAAAGTGAACCATGTGTGCATGCTTATACACACACACACACGCACACACGCACACATGCACACTTACACTGATACATACTGGGAGTGGAGGCACATGCCAATAATCTAGCTGCTCAGGAGGCTGAGACAGGAGAAACACAAGTCCAGGCCAGCCTGGACTCCATTGCAAGTTCAAAGCTGGTCTATACTACATAGTGAGACACTATCTCAAAAAACCCTAACTCTAAAAGTCGTATATTAACATTCACAACCGTATTATTTACAAGAGTCCCAAAATGGAAACAATCCATTGTTCATCAACAAATAAAATATGACCTAACTGTAAAGTGAAATACTATTAGTCAGAAAAATGAAATGCAGATTCATGCTACAGCATTTGATGGATCTTTTTTCTCCTAGTATTGGGGCTTGAAACCAGGGTCTTTGTACTGAACTACATCCCCATCCCTTTTTCTTTCTTTCTCTTTCTTTCTTTCTTTCTTTCTTTCCTTTTTTAATGTAAAGATAGTTGCTAAGCTGTCGGACTGGGCTTATACTTGCAATCCCCGTGCCTCAGCTTCCCAGAGTGCTGGGGTCATAGTCATGTGCCACCACATCCAGCTTTTTCTTTTTTGGTCTTTTTGAGACAGGATCTCACTATGCAGTTTAGGCTGGCCTTAAGTTCATTTTGTAGCCCAGGCCAGTCTGTAACTCACAACTATCCTCTAGTCTTAGCCTCCTGAGTGCTGGGATTGGGGGCATGCACCACCACACCTGGATACTATCATTTTCTTAATTATCCCCTTTAGATGGATATTTGGGAATTTTCCAACCATCTTTTTGCCAGTAGGGGCAGACATTTCCTTTTTTTTTTGGATAATTTTCTTCTTCGGAGGTGTGAGGCTATGGATGATTGGTTTTGATTGTTTCTGGCTTTTGACAAGTTCCCACGGTAGCGTGGTTCACTCGACCTCAGCTTCAAGCACTGCCAAACCGGACCTTAAAGACTGCCACTCCTTCATCGGCCTAGGTCACCTGTGATCCCCCAGCCAGCCCCGCCTCTCCACACCCAGCTCACCAGTTTGGGAGTTGTGCCCTCCCCAGGCAGGCTAGCGCGGCGTGTTGCAGCGCCTGGCCATCCCGCCTCGGGCCGCGTCCGCCGTGTAGTCCGCAAGCGGTCCTGCGCCGTGCTCACCTCAGCCTCCACGGTCCCGCGTGGGTCCCTGGGCTGACAAGCGGGAGTGACGCGCCATTCTCCCATGGAGGCCCGCTCGTTCCTGCTCCGGGAGATAGGGAAGCCCCTGGCTGAGCCTTTCCATCTGGAAGCTCCTTGGACGCTAATAAATAACGAAGCAATGTGTGCCAGGAGCAAGTGTGACAAGGGCAGGACAGAAACGAATTAGTTCAGCATGTCCTCCATTTTTGTTCACTAACCCACGGAGCAATTATTACCTGCTAACATTATCCGTTGGAGAGAACGAAAGACAGTAGAAGCAAGAAAATAAAAATGTCGGGTGTTGCTGGTGACAAAAGCAGGCCGAGGAAAGGGACTGTGAAAGTGAGGCGCTGCCAAGGAGGCCTCCCTGGTAGTGACAGTAAGGACAGGTGACATTAACTGGGTCAGGGCGCTGTGTCCCTCGCATCTGATATAAAGAGCCCTTTATATCAGATCTGCGTGAGGAGTAGAGATGGGCTTCGGGTCACTGTGAGTTCTAAGGCCTGCACCCTCCGGGCTGAGGATCTCCAACACCCAACCCGCCCCGGCGCCGAGAGGGTTAATAGAGATGCTACTGCGATGGCTCGTAGTGCGCATGCGCGGAGCGGGGAACGCGTAGGCGCAGGCGCAGAGCTCAGGGCGACGTGGCTGCCAGAACCCGGAAGTGGCCGGGGTGGGGAGCTGGTTTGGGAGCTGGTGCTCGCCGCGTCGCTATATCCTCGCGCTGCTGCTGCGCCCCCGCCGGCCTCAGGATGTTGAAGAAATTCGACAAGAAAGACGAGGAGTCGGGTGAGGACTACAAGAGGCCTGGGGAGGCTGGCCCGTGGCACAGGTTTTCCGACCTTTCTCGCGAGCCCTCTTTCGCGGCCTTTGTGCCGGCGCGGACGCCGAGGCCCAGTGATGAACAGATCCTCGGGTCGCAGACGGCCTAGCAAGCTTTGAGAAGCCTCAAAGAGCCCCGCGGCTTCCCACTCCTGAGCTTCTACTGGGATTTGCTGCCTGACCTTGTGCGGGTCACAGGCCTATGTGAGCCACAGTTTTCCCTTCTGTCAGAGGAGGGGCCCCAGCTGGATGCATCTTGTGCCTTTTCTGTCCAACCTTATGGTATCTGTCGGGCCTGAGTTGGTGTTGGCCACACCGATGCGTAACCTGTGCTGTGGGTAACAAGTTTGGGCTTTTCATTCATTCAATCAATCAGAAAACAGATAGAGTGCCTACTGAATGCCAGGCTTTGTAGGTGTCCTGATCCTGCAGTGGAACGAGAGGGATATAGTGTTAGAGGGGTCACGGAGTGCAGGAGACAGACTAGGTAATCACACATGTAATTGGTTATAAATGTGCGTTGGTAGTGAGGGAAATTTTGGTCACAGGTAAGTTGGTTGGCACCTGTGGACTCAGTTAAGTACAGTTTGCATGAATGACTGCAGGATGTGACACTGGAGACACAGGACTGTGCCAGGGCTTCTGGGGGAATGTAAGTGGTTGGGGCAGAGTAGAGCCCCCTGGCAAGAGCTGTGGTCAGACTGTAGCAGTAGTGCGCAGTTCTGGAGGAGTCAGGACTTCCTGGGTAGAGAATGGGAACAATTTTCTTCTCCCTGTGTTTGGGAGTTTGGAAATTCAGGGTCACTACCTGAAATCGGTCCTTTTTGTTCTCCTTGACTACAGGTGGAGGCTCCAACCCATTCCAGCACCTGGAGAAAAGTGCAGTACTCCAGGAGGTCAGTGTCATTTGCACCTCTGTCCCTGTCATGAATGTCATCCAGCTGGGGCCCCTCCTCTGACATTGTTTGTGAACAAACAGTACGGCAATACTACACTTTCTGTATTGGTTTCCAGGGCAACCAAGGAGAAAGCCTATGCCCCAAAACACAGAAACATGATTCTTGCAAAGTGTGTGAAGCTTAGATTTCTGTTCTAATCATCATTTCTCTTTCCACTTAAAAAGTTTGCTAAGCATTTACTAGTCAGTAGGTCAGCACATCCTTAAAAGTTAGGGAAACATTTTAGGAATTATTAATAGATTGGTTAAAAACAGACTCTTTCCCTGTGAGATAATCTTGTATAGGCAAGTATATATATTTCCTCTGTGACTCTCAGACCTTGCAGTACCTGAGGAGAGAGAGTGGAAGGGAAATGAACTGGGCTCACAGTTAATACCTTTGGTGGCTTCTTCTTAGGCTCGTGTCTTTAATGAAACTCCCATCAACCCTCGGAAATGTGCCCACATCCTCACCAAGATTCTTTACCTCATAAACCAGGTGAGTGGGTAAGGTTTGGGGTAGGGGAAGGTGGTGCAGGGGATGTCAGGAAGGGTGTACCATTGAGCTGTTTGACAGCCTCTCTGAGGTTGTAGCTCTAGGTTCCCTATGCATCTTGTTTTGATTCACTGCCTTTGACAGAACCCTACAGGGTCTGAGGGTCTGGCCTGAGCTGATTCCACAGGAAGAACTGCCTGGTCCCTGTGTCTCAGGCTGAGTTTCTTTCTTGATCACTGCAGGGGGAGCACTTGGGGACCACAGAAGCAACAGAGGCCTTCTTTGCCATGACCAAGCTTTTTCAATCCAATGATGTAAGTGTCCCAACCCCAGCCTTCCCAGAGAGATGAGAGCTGCTTTCACCTATACTTATGGTTTCTCCTCCCAGCTCTGGTGCCCTCAATGAGCAGGCTGATAGGGCTTTTCCCATCTCTTTCCCAGCCCACACTGCGGCGGATGTGCTACTTGACCATCAAGGAGATGTCTTGCATTGCAGAGGATGTCATCATTGTTACCAGCAGGTGACTCTTGGGACCATGGGAGGCTCCTCTATGGGGTCTATTGACAGACTTTTTGGTGATGTGTACTGATGAAAAGGCTTTTGGTTGGCCTTGGGCCAGATGTCCTTTCCTATACTGTCCCTCATCCTGTAGTTACTGAAGGCACCCATGGCAGCCTCCAGAGTGAGCCGTTTCTCTTTGACTTCCTTGGCTTTGACTTGGGGACAAACCTTTCTTTCCTGTGATTCTTAGTCACCTGAGTCATTGTGGAACTTTTTTTTTTTTTTTTATCAGTACCAGGGATCGAACTCACGACCATGTGCTTGCAAAGCAGGTGCTTATGCTGCTGAGCTAAATCCCCAGTCCCTGTTTTGTTTTTTTTGAGACAGTGTCTGCTGTGTGGTTCTGGCTGACCTTGAAATCACTGTGTGCTGCCCAGGAATGCTTTCTACATTAGGCTGAGTGATTCAGGAGACAGATGTCCCTAATGTATAATTTCTATCTTTTTAGCGGGGCTCCATTCTCATTTTTGTTGCCACAGTTGTGTTTGTAAGGGAGGGGCTCACACTCACCGGTAGATTAATTTGAAAATATTTACTGAGTGCTTCAGTCTGTGTGGAATGACAAACAAGACAGCTCTGGCCTCTGCCCCCCCCCCCCCCAGATTAACGGAATTGGCCAGGCTCCTAGGGGCTTGTTGGGTGCTTGTCCTGTGCTGTGCTTGAGAAGCCACGAAAATGTCTTAGTGAAAGCAAAGGAGCAACCAAGTCAGTTTTAAGCTACAAAAACCCTTTTAGTTATCCTTTGTGTGGTGTTTTTTATTTGTTTTGTTTTGTTTTTGCTTGGGTTTTTGTTTTGAGAGAAAGTAATGGAGGCTGGCTTTGAGCTTGTTTATGTAGCCCCAGGCTGGTCTCAAACTCACAATGATCCTCCTGCCTCAGCTTCCACCAGGCCCAGCTGCTTTTTGCCTTGGTGGGAGGAACAGAGGGTTAGCACAAGCTAGGGGACTTGTGTAGTGACCCAGGCAGGTCTGGCAGCAGAGGAGCTGGATAGGACTGGACTTGTCCCAATGCCCAAATGTTAGCAACATCCTGCATCCTCCACAGCCTGACAAAAGACATGACTGGAAAAGAGGACAACTACCGGGGCCCAGCCGTGCGTGCCCTGTGCCAGATCACTGATGTGAGTTCATGCCCTCCCATCATCCTGTGCACAATTCCAGTTGTCCCCTGCTCCCTGGGCTGGGGTATGCAAGAGCGCCCCCAAAACAGTCACTGGCTTCCTCCTCTGCACCCCATAGCTGTGTTCCTGAGGTCCCTACCTCACCACTTCTGTCCCCACAGAGCACCATGCTGCAGGCCATCGAGCGCTACATGAAGCAGGCCATTGTGGACAAAGTGCCCAGTGTCTCCAGCTCTGCCCTGGTGTCTTCCCTGGTGAGTGGCTGCAGCCCAGCCCTGTGGGATAGGAAGAAAAAAGTAGAAAATATCAGTCCCTTTCCAGTGTGCATTGGGGGGTGGTTTTATACCCCCTGTCTGAGTGTCCTGCTCATCTCCTCATCAAAGAGAGCCTAGGTTGTTTGACAGGCCCCTGGCACATGTCCTTAAGCCACACATAGGGTGATAGGGTATTGGAGTTGGGATTGGGAGAAAGGTGGGAACTGAGGCCCTCCTTGGGACCAGGATGCTGGGGAGGCTGTGGGTCGTGTCTGGGAGAAGCTTGGGTGCCCTGCCCAGGGTGGGTATCAGGTGGCCACCCTGGCTACTCCTCATCTGCTCTGTATCCACAGCACCTGCTGAAGTGCAGCTTTGACATGGTCAAGCGCTGGGTGAATGAGGCCCAGGAGGCAGCGTCCAGTGATAATATCATGGTCCAGGTAAGGACAAGGACAGACAATACTGGAAATACTCAGGCGGAGCTAAGGGGCGGCACATGCCCACAATACCAGCACTCTAGGAGGCTGAGGCAGGAGGAATACAAGTTCCAGCCCAGCCTGGGATACTTAGTGACTTAATGACATTGTATTAAAAAAAGAACACTTCAAAGTAGGTGTGTGTGTAGCTCATGGAAAAGCCCTGGATTTAGTCCTCTGTTTACCAAAAGAAGAAAACATAAAATGCCAGGTGTGCTACGTTGGTGCATAGGCCTAATCCCCGAGGCAGGAGGATCACTTCGAGTTTTAGGCCAGTTAAACTACATAGAAATCCCATCTCAGAAGCTTGCAGCCCAGGGCCATACAGGCAGTGTAACTTGTGTCACTGTCCTCTAGTACCATGCACTGGGGCTCCTGTACCATGTGCGAAAGAACGACCGCCTGGCTGTCAACAAGATGATCAGCAAATTTACACGGCACGGCCTGAAGTCACCCTTTGCCTACTGCATGATGATTCGTGTGGCCAGTAAGCAGCTGGAAGAGGAGGACGGCAGGTGAGCATTCGGCCTCCTCCTGCTGGATCCTACTTCAGTCCTTCTGTTGTGCTGAGTTGTTCCCAACTTGTCGTCTCTGGGTCGCTTATTATAGCCGAGACAGTCCACTGTTTGACTTCATCGAGAGCTGCCTTCGGAACAAGCATGAGATGGTAGTGTATGAAGCTGCCTCAGCCATTGTCAATCTGCCAGGCTGCAGTGCCAAGGAGCTGGCCCCAGCTGTATCAGGTCTGTGTCCATCACTTAACGAGTAGTTCTGACCAAAAATGAGAGAGTGAGGAAATGCCTTCAGTAGGCCACTGTCCATGGGATATCAAGGAGCCAGAATCTGTTTGGTACCTGCTCCACGGCTGGTCACTGTGTGGAGACACATCCTGGGTGTTACTTTTGGGG